GTGGAAATAGGCAGTACACGTGTGCAACATGCAGATATATGGGCATAAACATTCATGCAAGAACAAGATGTTAATGGCAAATGTAGAAATGCTGATTCTTTTATTTGTTCTGAGTTTGCGAGAATCACGTAGATGTCATATGCTGACCACAAGAATGAAGCTGTATGGCCAGTTAGCAACAATCCTAATCATAAATTCAGGCAAGACCATGTATCTACAGCCGTGTTAGTGGCTCTTTGAGGCTGTACTTTTGAACTAAATGCTAATGTCAGCAAACTAACATTGATTTAATGTAGTTATCATTTTAGTCTAGTGTTAGCATTAAGCAAAAACTGCATCTGAGACTAATGGAAATGTCATTAGCATAAAGCTAAGTGGAATTTAGCCATGAATCAAATCCAAAATAAATAAATGAAAATCAATAAATCTAAATCCAAGTTTTGACCTGATGATGTCACTGGCTGAAAGATCAGAGTTATTATGACTTATTCAGAGGTGTTATGTGCACGTCTACCAAATTTCATGGCATTTGATCCCGTAGTTGTTGAGACATTTTGCTTAAAACCACAAATGTCAACCTCATGGTGACAGTGGAGAAAATGTCAGAGGAATACTAAAGTCATTAGTTTTAATCATCGTCAACATCATTCATGACTGTGTAAATTTTCACGGCAGTCCATCCAGTAGTTAGATACTTCATCCTACACATTGTGGTGGACTGGCTGACTCTGCCATCCCTAGAGCCGTTCCACTAGCGTGACTAAAAATTCTGATTCATAAGCTTGTAACAATTCAAAATCCTTTATCCACAACCATTTTTTCCCCCTAAGAAGTAATTAAACCTGTGTCTACCTCGTTCTCATTTCCTGTAGAGTGCTGCAACATTCAGAAACCAACCGAATGACCACACAGAACATTGGTATTGTGTTCGGTCCAACCCTGATGCGTCCAGAAAGGGACAACGGCAACATGGCGGTGAATATGGTTTACCAGAACCAGGCGGTGGAGCTCATCCTCAGTGAATGTGACCACATCTTCGGAACGAGAGGTCCCTCTTGATGTTTTGGTGATGGGATGAAGGATTGTTTTTTTGGGGGGGCTCTTTCTGATCTGACAAAAGTGCAGGTAGTGCATTGTTTATAGTCTTTTCCCATTGGCTCATATGGTGTAAATGTTATTCACATCAAAAGATAATTATGGTTTAAAGAAGAATCAGAACAAGAAGCTGCTAATGACATCTGTCCTTCACATAAAACTATGTTAAAACAAGACAATTATATTGATACTTGAGCCTTTGCCTGCAGAAGTGGAGCCCAGCCCACTTCTTTAGCTTTACTTGATGTTTTGTACTTGTTCAGGAAATATAAAAAGCCATAAAAGTGATACATCTTCTCCAGCTAGCTGTGTATTTATCAAGAAATATGAGGAAGGATGTCTTAATGTAGCACTGAAACAAAACTTTGCAGAATCAACTCGCTGTGAAAACACATGCTCCAGCACCTCTTGCAGGAAGGATTGACAGATCCCAGCTGCAGTATTAGCACTGATATACTGTAAATTATGCAAACAGGCAGGAAGCAAGCTGTGGGTGTAAATGTACCCGCATCTCCACTGAAGTTATACACTGCTAGATGAGTTTTCAGGTTCATGTGAGAGACCTCTTCATTTCAGTGATGGGATGAATGTGCCAAACGGGCAGCGAATGTTCCTTTGTACCAGATAATACTGTGGAAAAATAATGTGTGGCCCTTAAGAGCTTCCCTTGTTGTACAAACTTGTCTTCTATTTTCTTCTGCAAACTCCTCAGATTAAGTTAAAAATCTTATTGTAAATATGTGAAATACTGTCTGTAAACTAGTAGCACTTTCATACAGTGTGTAATCTTAACATGTTTTGGCGTAACTCAAACTAATACATTTGCTTTTAAATGAACTGTGTGTTAGCAGAATATTACCTGCAGTTAAAAAAAAAAAAGAGTTAAAATGATTTGATGTTTTGTGATAGCTGGTCAGGATGTGTCTGGTTGTTTTTATCAAGCGATGGCTTGCGTGTGGAGGTAAGTCGGCCTTGGAGACTCAGCGGGTGATGGTATCTCCTGTGATTGGTGCAAATGCTGCTTTTAATAACAGAACAAAAGAGGAACTAGAAATGCATATGTTTAAAAAATGTGGATTTTCCCCAAAACACTCTCTCTCTCTCTCGCTCTGTGGCTTTGGTAACTTTATATTGACTGTGGGTTTGGCAGAAGACGACAAAGCACAGAAAAGAGGGATGGAGGGAAAAGCTCAGATTTTGCAAAGTTTTATTAGAAGTATTTATTCATTTTTATGTTCATATTATGTCAAGTCGTGAGCGTGTGTGAGGAGGGGTTAAAATGATGTGTAGCTGATTCAAACTTTGGCTCATAATGTGGATTCCCAAGGTCTCTGTATTTGATTGACATAGAAGTATTTTCTACTTAAACAGACAACCACACTTGTTTATTTGATCCAAATGCTTGTGTTCACACAGTCATCACAGTTACTTAGTTGTACGTTTATCCCTCCGTCAGTAATGCAATCCATCAAATTCTTTCTGGTCTTTTGACAGCCAGGAGCCCCAGAGCCTCTCACATTATATGTTTCCTTTAATTATCATTATTATGCAAATCAAAGTGTAACACACTGAAACCATTCAATAGTTTAGTATATAGTTTTTAAAACTGGTGTCAGTAAAAATCCAGTGGCATTAAACTGCTGTAGACTGTAGCTCTGTGAGGCGTTCGGTCAGAGACGCACAGAAACATCTCTCCACCCTAATCAGCAGTGTGTTGCCAGTGAAAGTCAAACTCCATTACTTTGCCTTTTAACGCAGCCCTTTTCTCTTCTGTTTTCCCTTGACTTTTCTTTGACTTAATGCTATGTGATTGAATAAAGGCACTCTTATTATTCCTTAATAAGTGTAAAGCAATGCAAAATGTGGCCCTGTATGGCAAGCGTGACAGTCGAATGTGCAGTCATTACTTCTAATGTAGACAAACGAGCACACACACACCCACACACATGCACGTACTGCTGGGAAAAATCTGCTTACAACTGATTTTTGATGCATGAACTGATGAAATCCAACAACGTTGACTCAAGACCATTGGCATCTGTAGGTAGTTATTTCTGGCTGAAACATGGTTTGAGCACTTATTAAAATGTCTGCAAACAACAGCATAAAACACCTGTAAAATATTTTCATTTCGTAATGTTTGTCATCTAACCATTTTAATTTTCACTGTATAAATGTAAATTTAACAAATTTGAAAGTCTACTTTTAGACTAATCTCCTTGAGCAGCTGTTTGTTAATCAACCTGTTTTCTTTTAGGAAGAGGTATATAGGGCAAACAACTTCCCTATGTATTACAGAATAGCATTGTCTGTTAAGTTGTGTATATTTGAGAGAAGAGACCTGGAAAGAAATGTTTGTGGAGAATCATGCTTGAAGTGGATGGGGATCAGTATCTTGCTCAGTGGTGGAATAAACAGGAGAATTAAAGTTAGATCTCCTGACTTCTTTGGAAATGGTTGAACTTGTGAGTTCATTGTTAACTCTTCCTGTGTTCTGAGTGGCATGTCGATCTTTAGTGTTAACGTGGTTATTATCCATTATTGTGTTGGGTCTAGAGTTTAGTTAATGCAGATTTGATGTAAATTATCTTTCACTTTTATTTTTACCCTTCATTTGCAGTCCTATAAACTTTTTTTGGTTTGTTTTTTTTGTCTTTGCTTGTTATGCCCAAGATGCTATGCAAAGCTTTTGGGTGGTCTTTTAAATGTAGTTGCTAGTTAAATGCAAAGGGAATGAATTGCTCTTAGTGGACCACCCTGTAAAAATAAAGATGGAATGAGTGAAAAGACACTTAAGCAGGATAATGGCTATCACAGGTGCTGAGGTTGAAGTACAGTACCCACAAGTGAAATGCATCTCAGTTCAGAACATGTTTGCTCTTTCACATAGTTAGTAGGAATTGAAACTTAAGAATACTTTACACCCAGTCTGACAACCTGTTGCTCATGGGTGGGACTTGCAGCAGTTTGCAAATGATGCTGATGCTGCTGTCTGATTGTGGTAAGTGTTGTACACCGCACATATAAGTCAAGACTTAAATGTCATCTTACTCACGGTCAACTCCAAAACCAGTCAAGTTATAAGACGGTGTCATAAAATCTCCAGTCATTGGTGTCACAGTTCACTAAATGTTGTTGAAGCGTGGCACCTAAAAGTATCTGACCTTCATCACCTGGCGTGGTTTTGTTAATGTTACGGTTAGCTGATTGTTTACTCAGCCTACCGTTAAGCTAAAGCTCATTTACCAAATATCAGCAGAGCTGTTCAGCCCCTGCGTACCCCGGCAACACACAGAATTCAGAGGCACAATCCAGCCACCTCTGATGAATCATTATGCAAATAGACGAAGCCACAAAAAAGTCACTGTAATAAAGCAGTCTGCAGTCATGAGTATAGTGGGAACTGTTTACTGTGATGGGAAACTGAGTGGCACAGGTCACAGTTGAGCTTCAGACCTGTCATGTTGGCAATGTCTAAAACCTTTATTTTCAGTCTCACAAATTCTGTATCATAAGGTTATTAAGAATATTAGAAAACTTTGATCATTTGTAATGTGACAAACCAATAAAGCGCAAGACTCTGGTGACAACATATGTACAATTTTATTACAAATATCCACAAACATGCAAAAAAATATATATATATGAAAAGTTAATACAAACTTTGCATCTGTGCCAGTAAAAAATTTAAAATGCTTAATATAAAAAAGTGTGCAGACTGAGTCAGTCTTTTTTTTTGGGACAGGAAATAACAGGTAAGGAACTATGCAAAAGCAGTGTGACAGTTGGTGTCACATATACATATCTTTGGTGATAAACGCACACACACATACACACACAGACATTATGAAGAAGTGTCTTTGGTGCACTGTATGCATGAATGCTACAAGCTCACTCACACCTTATAGACCACAGCCTTATCTTGTCATACCAAAGCTTTGTCAGATTACTCGCAGTGTCTGAATACATCTGAAGCCCTTTTCACATTGACTACACTGCAATCACTAGGAGGAAGTCACAAACTTATATGTATCATGAGTCTTGACCATCTCACCACATCTAATCCCAAATGTGTCATACGTTATTGTTCCATGGGTGCAAAAATAGGCTGTAGTACATGTAAATTATTACAAGAATAGGACAATTGAGAATTAAATGAAATAAAGCAGCTCTGTGTTATTACACAGACAGTGCAAGTTTTATTTCCTCCCTCAAAAGAAAAATGCCAAAAACTATTTGCCCCTTTTAGCCTCCCACACAGAAAAGTGGAAATGCATTTCCCCTAGTAAGGCATATTATTAAAATGTGCAGTCCACTGCTTTTTGATACAAATAAATAACCAGTTTGTCTTCTTTTAACTGCTTGCTCCAAATAGACTGTCGAGCACCATAGTTAAACTGAAGAGCTAATACCTTGTGATTTCACAGCATGAATGGCAAAAATGAAAACTTCTACTGTATATTCTTGAGCACTCACTAGCTTTGGGACAAAGTAATAACAGCATGTGTGTTTTGATCATTTTTTTAAAATAAAGGTAACTATTTGTAGTGAAATACACCACGGGATATACAAACAAGAAGAACAAATATACTTAGTAGGCATCAAGCGGTTTTGTTGACTGCACACCTAACCTATGGCTTTGAGTGGCATATTAAATTAACAGTAGATGTTTTTCAATCCTGTAGTCAATTCTACAGACAGTTCCTTCCTAATCCATTCACTGCATCTACATGTGAACAGGTAGCTATCCTGGCCTAAAAAAAACTAGGTACATCAAATCTTTTCTTCATGATAAAATACTGTCACTGTATGGCTTCTTCCAAATTTAAGGACATCTATGTTTTGGTAGTTCTGTGCATTTTTACATGTTGTAATAGGGTAATAGGAGTAAAAAAAAAGAATGGATCTGATATGTATATGAGAGAAATATGTGTCAAAAGTCTTAATATATACACTATATGCAATGTATTACCTTGTTAAAGAGCCCATGACATGCTTTTCCTTGTTTTCTTGCTTATCTACAATTTTACAATGGTGAATTATCATCTTAGATCTCAAAAAATGAGCGTATGTTTTAGTACTTCTATGTAGAAGTAACTCGGTTCATATACGTCTCACAAACTCTCGCTCGTGAGACTTTTTCTCCAATAAAAGAAAGTATTACTTGATAGTTAAAGGATTTGTGGATATATTTTACCTCCTGCTGCTGCACTGTGACCAGAGAATGTGGGGGGAAACACAGGGCTTGAGGATAGTGCATGTCCAGGAATGTTCATGTACACACTCATTGTTTTACCTTACTGGGTCTAACATGGTGTGGCTGGAAACCTACAGGCAGTCAGCTGGTTTAGAACCCTGGGGCAGTGAATGATCACCTCATCAGTGCTGGATTCCCCGGAGCACAGTACCTGTTTGGTTTGGACGCAGCAACCACCGGTTGGATTTACTGACCTTGGAGCTACTTGAAAGGGAGTGATGTTTCCACTGCTTGGTGGGACTTAACAGTAAGCTTTAAAAAAAATGCCTTAATGTCTTGTTTCTGTAGAGAGAATTGTGGATTGGCTGGAGAAGTTATTGTGTCTTAAAATATGGGTTTTCTCAACTACCTGCTTTGTTTAGAGTGTTACAAATTTCTTTCATCATATACTGTTTACCTCTCTATCCAGAAGAAATTCAAGTGAATTAATATCGTTGTGGTTCGTTGTGCTGTCCACTTTCAACACAACACCGGAAGCAGGAGTTGCGCGTGTTCAGGAACTATCCTCTCGCTTTTAAGAAGAGGCTTTCTAGTTTTATCATTCTAAAATAATTACAGACTATTTGGAGTTATGACGGATGCAAAGCTAGAAGTACCCAAGATTAAACATTAAATGGCTGGAAATGAGCAAAACGAGCATGCCATGGGCTCTTTAAAGTCACCTTAAGATTTTATTCTGGGTAAATCAGTTAAATCCAGGCTTAGTTCACATTTATTCAAGTCTCCTCTCTGGTCCTCAGTGTCTCCATCGCACATGTGGCTCTGTGCGCTGTCACTATGTTTTTTCACAACAGTTTCTCTCATGTTGCTTTCCATGAGCTAATTTCCAGCTGCTCCCCTGACAAACTCACATGTGCCTCTTCTACATGACCATCACTAACTTCTGCCTCTTTCTCTTCCTCCTCTTCCTCCTCCCCTTTGAGGGTTTCTGGAGCTCCATCGAAACTGGAATCACTGAGGAAAGAATGTGGAGTTTGAGCATCTTCCATGGACAAAGGGGTCTCATCGGTTTTGAAAGTGATGCCTGGCCCTGGGGTGAAAGGCATCTCCTCATGGTCTTGGTCTGGATCCTGGTCTTTGCTGCAGTAAGCATAGCGATGGTTCATGTGCTGGGAATATGAGCCAGAGTGAGAGAAGCGCTTGCCACATTTGTCACATTGGTAGGGTTTCTCTCCGGAGTGCAGTCGGCTGTGCTCAATCAGGTGATGCTTATGCTTAAACGCCTTGTTGCAGATCTTGCACTCATGCGGACGCTTGCCTGTAATAAATAACAAAAATTACTTCTTTTTTTCTTTTAATAGAGAAAACATTTAGGACTTTTTGTGTACTAAAATCTCTTGAAAGGTGCAGTAGGTATTTTTCTTTTTCATCAACAATTTAACTGAATAGTTTGACAGCAGCTGGTTAGCTTAGCACAAACCATAGAAATGGTAACATCTCGCCTGGCTTAGTCCAAAGGTAACAAAATCACCTCTCAAGCTCATTAATGAACACATTACAGTTCAAATGCCTGTGCAAAAACTGACATGTAAAAGCAACAACATATGGCTTTATGTGTGTGTTATGTGTTGCTTTTTACCCTTTGGTTTTTGAATAGATTAAATAAACCAGATACATTATATGAATGTATGACAGAGCTGGGCTAGATTTTTGCTAAGATAAGCAAACCAGCTGCGGCCTGTAGCTTCATATTTATCATAAAGACATCTCTCAGCAAAAACTGAATAATACCAGTAAACAAATTATGTAGTAATCTCTAACTGACTGGAAATGGTACATAATTGAAGTGTTTTTGCAAATTATGCACAAGCTACAGACCCGTGTGCTCATATTTGTGTCGGAGCAGAGAGCTGCTCTTTTGGAAGGTTTTTTCACAAATGTCACAAGCGTACAGGCCCTCCTCTGTCTTCCTCAGTCTCTTCCTCCCTGGCCCTCCTTCTCCCTCCAGCCCTTCATCCATTAGAGTGAGGTAGTCCAAAGCTCCGCAGTTTAACACATCACCCTGTGAAGAAATTATGTTAATTATGGCTGGTGTTTTTTTTCTCCTCAGTCTCTTCCTCCCTGGCCCTCCTTCTCCCTCCAGCCCTTCATCCATTAGAGTGAGGTAGTCCAAAGCTCCGCAGTTTAACACATCACCCTGTGAAGAAATTATGTTAATTATGGCTGTTGTTTATTAAGCCTTTGCAGGGCGCTTTATTTAAAGCTTAAGCAAGTCCTTACTCACCATGAGAGCTTGTCTCTCCTGTTGGATCTTTTTCAGTGTAGCCTCTGTATCTGCCTCCATCATGTAAGCCATAGGAGAGAGATACCCAGTGCTATTAGCTGACTGGCCGAATGGAACTGGTATGATGCCTTCGTGCCCTGAAATCCCTAAACCAGATTGGTTGAATACAGGAAAACCAAGGGAAAGGGAGCGTTGAAACATAGGAGTTCTGGTCCCGCTGTAGGTGGGGTGGTGATGAAGGGACAGATGCAAAGTTGGACTTGGTCTCTTAAGCTGTTGAGTCCCAAGCTCTCTCCTTTCTCCTTTGCTTGAGTTGCCGTTGACAGTTTTGTGCCTCCCCTCCTGGTCTGAGAACTGCTTGGGCAGGGAGAGGTCCAGAGGTTCGTCTTGTGCAGACCAGGGGCTGCTAGTCTGAGGTGAGGAGAGTTCAGGAGGGCAGCTGGTGAGGTCAAGGCAGACAGGAGAACCGAATCGTGACGAGGGAGCTCTTCTTCTGGCTTGAGGTGATGACAGCTCTGGGGAATGATTGATTGGTTGGCTTGGGCTTCCCTTTTCATGGCCTGGCCAATACGATCGTGATGACAGGGCATCGTGGTGGGGCTGTGGGGGAGAGTGCATCACAACCAAAAGCTGATGCGGTACTGAGTGCCAGCTGGGCTTCTGTAAGGGTGACTTATTTCCAGACAGGCCATTGGTTACTTCACTTCGTTTATGGTTCTCTGGTTGGAGAGCAGATCCGGGGAAGAATAAAGGTGACGAAGGGTGGTCTTTGCTGTGAAGACTCTCAGGCACCTCCACCGCCTCTCGGTTCATCTTACAGAGGTAGCGCTCATGCTGCAGAAGCACCGCCATGTTGGGGAAAAGCTGTGAACACCAGTGACATGTCACCCCCAGCACAGCTCTCTCCACTTCACCTGACGTCACTGACTCTCTTCTCCTGACAGGTGACATCTTGCTATCAGGATCTCCTCCGTTGTGAATCACCCTGCTTTTCTCTGCTGCAGAGCCTTCTCTTCCGTCTATCTCCTCATCTTTCTTCACCTCCCTGTGAAGCATCTCCTGCAGCATCTGCTCAAATTCGATCCTAGGGTATGGAAATGGCAGCAGGGTGTTCCCATTTAAGATACTGGCTCTTAGAGAGGGCTCTGCTGATGGGTCCCATAGCTGAGCCAGGTCTGAGGCTCTTGAGAAGGCTGTGGGGTTCTGGTTAGGGTCCTGCAGTGAAAGCTGTTGAGAATTCTCTGGTACTTGGCTCAGAGACCTGGTATTATCTTGATTCTGTGAGGCCAAGAGAGAGCCCTTTTCATTACTGTTTGTCCCCCTGCCTGCAGAGGGAGACATTAGAAATGAACAGTAGTTGGAATTTTGGCTATGTCCATTAATTGCCCCACTGGCTCTTCCCATAATGCCACCTCCATTTCCTCCACCACTAAGGCACTTTTTGCTGCTTAAGTGAGAGCTATAGGAGCCAGAATGAGAGAAACGTTTCTTGCAGTTGGAACACTTGTAAGGTTTCTCACCTAAAGGAAAAAACACATTAAGGAGGCATTAGTCAAAAGATGCCACAAGGTTGAAAATATCTTCCGCATGACTGTGATGGTTTCACATTTTTTTCCATAGTTATTTTGTCCTGTCATGAACTATATAATTAATGGTTAAGGATACAATGGAAACAAATTGATGGGTGAGCACAAGTGTATTGATATCATTTTGTCTCACCGCTGTGGATGCGGACATGCTCTTTGAGGTGGTGTTTGTATTTGAACGCTTTCCCACATTGCAGGCATTTGAACTTTCTGTTCTCCATTCCTTGATCCAGCACGATGGGACCCTGCGAAGACAGAACATTGATATTAATTTTATACACAAACATGCATAGGGAGCAATTTCACAGTGTTAAGAAATATGATTATTTCTAACACAAATCAAACAAACTAAATAAAAACATAATGCAATTATAGTGGTGATACATATTGGCTTGATTGTAGTTGTAAAGGTTTGTCATGCTTTCTCTGTCTCACCTGTATTTGTTTGTGAAAAGCCAGGTGCCGCTCCATCTCCTCCCTAATGGTGGCAGTGTATCCACATTGTGGACAGACTATGTGCACCCCCCCCCTCTCCTGACAGCACTTGATGTGGTCCCTCAGAGAGGTTCTTCGCTGATACACCCTGTGGCAGAACGGACAGGCCTGCTGTGTGCTACCTGCATCTGGAGTCCAGAGAGTTGTGACATTTTACACAGGCCATGGAAAATTCCATGCATTCATTACAAATATCTAACTAACTATTTTCTAAACCACATACAGTATGCTGCTCAGGGTCATGGGAGACTGGCGTCTATCCCGCCATGCACTGAGGAAGATGCAGGGCAGGCTGCCAGCCTTTCGCACTCATGCTCACCTTAAGTAAAGCTACGTTATTATCTGTCATCTCAGGTTGCACAAATTATGAAAAATGAGTCATAGGGCACCTGTGCTTATGTGTCAGTGTTGTACAGAATGAAAGACATGCACTATTATGTCTTCTGACTCACAGATCGGAGTGAATTTGAGCTCAGATGATCTAATTTCATTATAGATACAAACAATAAAGTCTTATGCGTGTTGCATACATGCCACGTATATGTTTGTATTTTGATGTATAACTACAGTATGATGCAGTTGAGTGACATTTATTAAAACTAACAACACACCATCTAGTTTAGAGTAACAGCTTCATATTTGTTAATTTTATATTCAGTAACATTGCTAACATTCATCTACCTGCTCCCTCAGGTGAGCGGTGCTGAGCTCCAGGCGACCAGATGGCAGGCGGCAGCTCATCGTTCCTACTGCCCTGGTGGTACACAGCCGCTGTGCCATTATGGTTCAGATGGTCCAAAAGACTGGCTGAGTTAGAGGTCTTCCTCAACTGGGCAAGGATTTCATAGTGAGTCAGGTCATTCAAGGCACTTTGGGAGTCTGAATTCTTATCTGGGCAACAGAGAAAGAAAAACAGAGGAACCGAAATATCTATGAATAGAGTGATATTTATTTTTAACCAGTTCTTGCTTGACACTGAACATCTGATACATGCAAACATTCAGCCTTTTTCATGACATTAACAGGAAAATGTATTTTACCTAATGGGTTTCTCCTTTACTTAACTGCATTAAAAGTCTCTCTGACAAAGCCTACATGAGGAACTAAGACAGCACCAACAGGCTAAAAAATTATCACAGTACAGTTTTTCTTTCCAGTTAAGACTGAGATGTTCATTAATATGTGACTTTACCTAAATATATGTTGTAAATGAAGTTCTTTAGAGTGCATTTGCTCTCTGGCTTTGTGGAAAAACACATGCCTTGTCACAATTTCATGTGTGCAAATGTGTGTGTGTGCTAAGGGACTGGGGATAAACTGTAAAGTGCAACTGAATCTAATGGGACTAAATTGTTTACTTAAACAGACTGACAGATAAAACAATAGATTCAGGGAACTGGTTGCCCAGATATGAAACTAGATATTAAGAATTCATTGTCCTCCATGTCTTTGAATGCTTTGACATGCAGGCACAAAGAGAAAGCCACAGATGTACGTAAAGAAGAGACGGCGCCTCCTATCACAAGCCAGTGAGCTTTGCTAACAGCGACTTTGAGGAAGATTTTTCAAATGTTTGCACATGTTGGCATATTTTGAGTAGTTTTTTATGTGGTGAAGGGAAGAGCTTGTGTGGTTGAGCGCTGTAAAAACTCAGCTTTGCCTTCATCAGGCGAGACCAAATCACATGAGGCGAAGGAGCTAAGTGATTGTTAGTAGGCAAGCCACGCAAGCCTTTGATCTCTCCTAAATAAAAGGGAAAGCCTCACGTCGCGCAATGCTGATTTCAGTACCGTAACGTCACCTCTTTGATGCATGGAAATATAGTGATATTGTGGGGGATGAGTTCTTTTGTCATGCTTTCAGAAGCCTGTCTTTTCAGAGAGAGGAGTGAAAAAAAGGGAACAGCTTGTAGGGAAGGCATGGTTTCACAAGGAGCTGATATGAAGGTGTATCTAGAGGGCTTTGAGACGCATCATGAGACTGGACACGTCTTGCATCAGAAAAAAACCCACTGTAAACTTGTTTACACATACTGTAGTGCTCCACACAACAGCCTCATGCTGTATACAATACATATTACATGCATAGTGCTTTGTTGCAGGCCTCATTTCCTCAGAAAGAAATGTGGGGATGTTTTCATAGTTCAAATCATAAGAGGTTTACCCATAGCAGATGGTTTACAGACTTACAGGACATCATGAATGATTCCTGGTCTCCTTCCTTGTCGGTGGTGGATGCATCCTCAGCTGCCTTGGCCTCTGGTGCCGCCTGTGCCCAGTAGTATTTTCTGCCAGGGCTGAGGCTGTGTGGATGCGTGGTGCAAGAAGGACTGCTAGGCTCCTCTGTCTCCTCTCTGGGTGTCAGGCTCATCTTGTCCAGGCTCTCCTGGCAGTCCTGGGGCTCCAGGCTCCACAGGCCCACCTCATCCTCCTCCTCAGATCCCAGTGAAGTTACTTCCTCAGGATCCACTGTGAGGAGGAAAGAAGAAAAGCCTTAGAGGGACCAACGATGTCAGCTCAAGCTAAGTCAGGTAATGCCTGCTGTTCAGTATGCTCATTAGGAATATATCATTTTTTCTGTGCTATATTGTATTTTGAAATATTTTAAAAATCAAATATCATACACGTGTTTTTAATCTATGTTAAATGAAATACCAGTTATTATGTATTTATTTTTTCAAACATGGTTCAGAATGTAAAAGACAATTATTCCTTGTTTTTGATAGCGATTAGTCAGTTGAGTTGTAGATTATGACAAGTGGATATCAAGGACAATGCTACACAGTTTAAAATAATATGTTAGGAAGTGAAACCAAATGGGGAAAAACACAACTAGAAATTCAAAAATGCTCTAAATTCGGAGCCATGTCTTACATGTTTTAAATCAAAAAAAGAAGCGACTGTATAGTTGCTATTTATTTAGTCTTTAGTCTTTTTCTCTGTAAGTAATAGAAATGACATTGTCTTCATGTGAAGTTGCTCCATGTGTTTCTAATCATAAGATATTGCACAAGGCTTTGTGTAGTTTGATGTGTGGATCATGAGCAATTCGAGCAGACATGCTCTTCATGCAACAACAAAACCATACGCAACTGCACAAAGGAGATCCAGAACTCGAAGAGGAAGGTCCCAACTTTAAATTATATTTCAAATATTTTCCTGAGCTAATTCCACAATATAAAACTTCAGACACAGCAAAATAAGACATTAATAGTAATTTCTGATTAATTTCCAAAGGCACTGTTTTACTCTGAGAGTACTGAGAATAAAGTGTGACTTTCATTTTGAAACCAACTGAAAAATTAATATTGAAAAAGAAAATAATGAAATACATAAAAAACAAACTCCAATCTCTAAGTGTTACGTTGTTAAGCAAACATTAACCCCATAAAACACAAATGCTTTTAATGGTGATATTAATCATTATAACTACAAAGTTTACTGTTTGTCAAATAAAGTATTTGTCTTCTGTGCAATTTTTTTTTTATTTTACATGCTGTGTGTAACTTTGGACTTAAGCGGCTTTATATTTAATTACTGTTAAAAAACTATTTTTGTGATACAACAAACAACAAACCTACATTTATATTTTCAGTTCATGTATGTGTGACTATAATGTGACCGGGGTCTAGTACACCAGTAAGAAAAAAAGATAAACAATGTTGTAATATAAAAACGGACCCTCGGTGCACAGAGTGTAGCAAAACTGGAAAAGCACGTTACTTTTCCCATAGCAATGACAATCACAAACACATGCCTGGGATTTCAGCTGTAGGCTTTTATTTCCAAGACATTTTTGAGGACGCTCTGTTTTCCTCTCACTGATTGGCAATATCTAATCACAACCAAGTAATTACCAGTTAAGAACACAACTAGACGTTTCCAGCGCCTTTGAAATATATCATCAAACAAAGCCAGCCCATATGGAGATCACAGACTCTGCCAATGTACAGCAAACCAATTCTTCTTTTTTGGGCTGTAAAACTAAGGCTTCTGATCAGTATCTAATGAAGTCACAATACAACATGGTCTTGTTTCTTGTTAGGTTTAAATACATTTTCCTCTTTGGCCTTGAGAGAGTGTTGTGCCGCTTTTCATCAGTGAAAATAATGTTTCACAGTTCATTACAGTTCACAAAACACGACCAGTGTCTATTCATTAAACTGTCAAAACAACATTAAGTCAGTATAGAAAGAGTTTCATTTCTGTTCGAGCTGTTCCAGCTACTCCCTCACGGGCCTGTCAACACAATATTTTATGAGTATTTTGCTTTCAACTCCTCTGCACATGCAGTTATGTCCCAGAGCTCACAGTGACAAAACCCTGTGACTGTACACTGGTGGAGACATTTTAGCAAATCTACCCCATCAACTTTGCAACTAGAGGACACAAACATATACACACACACACTCACACTCACTCTGTTACTGAAACAGTAAAAGGGACCCAGTGCTGCTGCACAGGGGGCTGGCCCGTAATCACAAACATATTTACACACATTCTTCTGATGAGTATAATAGCTTATCTCTAATTATAACACCTACAAATGTATCTGTTTGCATCAGCAGCTCATATGTCCTGCCCCAGCTTCAATAAGCCCCTGTAAAAAAAAAACCAAACATGAGCCCATGCGAAAACTGTGAATCACCCCAATGTACGCTTCATGTGGTGCTGCTCTACTAACATGGGGAGGAATGACTTGCTACTATGGGGGATGAAATTGGTCATCAAATATGTTCCACTACAGCAGGCAGCTGTAGCTGTGAAGTGATGTGATGTAGTTGAGGTCTACCTATTAGCTCTGCAGGAGATTCCTTGGATGATACGACGCGCTGCTGGGCCCAAAAAGAGAGAAATCTGGTGCAGATTAGCATCAAATTGGCTCTAATTTTCTCTCCCAAGACAGCAAGTGACACTAAGCCTATATCTGCTGTCATTAAGCGGCACCGCGCTGGGATGGCTTTCATTATCAGGTCCGCTGATTTATTTATTTGGAATGCAACTGCATCCTTCAAATAGGTCTTTGTTGTTGTTGTTGGAGCAGCAGGACAGCTAAATCTGTGGCGCAGGGGCTTTGCCTGAACAAATACACGGTGTATAAGGTATAAAAGAGACTGATAAATTCATGCAATGTGCAAGAGTTTTAAGAAAATTTGCTGGAAGACTTCGAACAAAAAAATCAAGCAAAGTGCAGCAACACACTGCTTATTGTGCGTGCACTATAATGTGTGAGGGGGGAATGTGACTCATATCCAGAGTTCTAACTGAACTGTGCTGCATCATGCTTGGCACCCTCAATTAGTGACACTTCTGAGGACTGACAGCAACAGTGGGTTCAGGGAAACAATGCAGCACTATTTTAATTGGTCTGTCGCTTATCCTCCCTGATGGTGACTGAACATCTGAACAATTGATGGTCTGCCTGCCAGGAAGTCTGCTTTGTTTTGTCTTTAGCTCGGGACACAAGTCAGAAATACAGAAACCAAATGCATGGTTGTATTCTGGGAGCTTGTGAGCCATCTCAAATCTGTTCTGAAGCCTAAAAAATGACGACCCACAGTTTGTTTACTATTTACATAGCTGAGCCAGTTTTCCAAAGTTAGACAGAAACAGATAATGTCTGAAACATTTCCTTTCTGTGACACAGAAAGAAACATTTTTGACACAAACACATTAAAATACAAACCGCAACTAAAAAAGACAAATAAGGTAAAAAAAAAAAAAAAAAGCTTCTCAACATTTGTTTGACTGTTTCAGTGCTGGTCTCATTCAGACTGTTTATATCCCAGAGGGCATCTACTGTGCAATATCATACTGAGCTGCAGATGACTTTACAATGCACACATGCAATCTGGTACTGACTTAGTAATTATGTGGCTATATGGTACGCATGCAATAATTGTCTAGAAATTGTTTGTTTCTTTTGGCTTTAAATGGTAACAAACAAAGCCAGGCCCAATTTACAGCGCAATGTTATTGTTACCCTTCTGTTGATTTTTACAATTCCTCATCATTCCATAAAAGCCACAATAACGGTATTGATGCAAATTACTAGATATTTATTTCTCAAAAGAACAACCAAATAAATTGTTTCTCCACACCACACAAATATGACGGCAGTTTGAGATGCACACTAAAAACAAATATTATTTGTGTGCATGGATGTTTGTGAAAAGGTAACTGCAAGTTGTACTTTTTGTTCTACAAACAAAAAAATTAACTATTATACACACATTGCTATTAAAATGACCTTAAAATATAGATAGAAAGTAAAAGATTATATTTTGTAGAGTTTAAATACTTTGCCTTCACCTTTTAAAGTTCTATATCAAATCGCTTTTTAAACTTTTATATAAATTAAAGGTTATCTAGATGAGACAGGATCTATGTTGCGTTCCATATGACATAATACATACAGTAAGTGTAATAACAATGGGTTGTGCGCATGGAACATTACAGGACCATCTGGTGCATTTCATGGTAGAAAGGAAAGCAAAGTTCTGGTCAAGTGAATACACCAAAGCGTCATTAAAAACGTATTGATCAGTCATGTGTGTGTTATAACAGAACTCCCTTTGATGTCAAAAAATAGATTTTAAATATGACTTTAAACATCATCTGGTTATCAGGTTTCATTGTTGTATTAAATGTTGCTTTTTGGTACAGTTAAAGCTGTAACGGTTTCACAAGTACAAAAGAAACTAAACACTTACTATTTTGAACTCGATAAAATACCATAGGAGGGTCATGGACGCCCACACGCACACAAAACAAAACCCAAGCACAGGAAGATGTGTGCATTGTCATTTTACAGTACCTATGGGAGCACTTCAGAGACGAGGTAGATCCATATTTCTCTGCAGAGCAGGCTCATGTCGACAGCAATGACCTCTCTTTTAATATATTGCGGAAATCAAACATGCCATTTGTAAAATTCTCACTATGGCAGCGCTGCTATTCATACCTGCTGACTGACATTTGTACAATGAGTCAGGGGAGGACCGCAACCAAGAACAAACACCTCCCACCTAATCTCCTTCATCTTAGCAGTAACTCTTTTTCTCTCTCTCTCTCTGTCTCTCTCTGGGTGACGGCTCCTTACAGGTTTGGCACCTTGGCTTGATCTGGTTGGGTCTGACCTGCCATAACAACAACCTGCCCACATGACAGCATCCACCAAATATATAATAAATATTATTACCTGCAAACAATAAGATATGATATGATGATACCAATACAATTCCAAAATGAGTGGAATTTTCCTCTTAGCGGTTGCCTCATTTATGAATGCAACATTTAATTTCAATTTATCCAAATGTTTTACATATTATATCATGAATGCTGACAGCAAATTGAGGATTAAATGGTCTAAATTAAATGTTAATCAGTAGGAATGGTGGTAATGTGAAGTTTTGCAGCATGTTTATGGCCAGAGAAGAGGAAGTGCAAGCATTCTTGTCTAATGACGG